ATCCCCTTTCGGAGCCGGGCAGGGGAGAAAGGAAGGGGAATCACATTGGTGCCTGCAGGGAGGACACCCCATGCTCATTGCCTTCCTGCAGAAGCTCGAAGCCCCTGTGCCCCCTCCCCAGGCGCTGTGCTCCCTCCCGTGCCCGTCCGTATTTATTGACTGAGTCTCCCGGCATTTCTCCGTTCGGCTCCTGCTGGATTTGCTGTTGCCAATTCCCGGAGATGGTGAGAAAAGCCAGGACCTGTGGGTGTTGCTATGGAGAAAAGACCAAACCAGGTATTCTGCTGCCGCGTGGGGAAAATCGGAAGGAGGAGAAGAGGAAAGCTGGTTTTGCAGAGTGCCTTAAACACAAATGACTTTACTGAGTAGGGGGCTTGGACTTCTGTCTCTGGATGTTACTACCAACTCGAACAAATGTTGCATTTCACTTCTCTGGGATTAAAAGAAAACCACTCGAGCTGTACTGGAACCAAACCCTGTGTTTGCTTGAGTCCGTCTTGCTGGTTTGCATCTGTGGGGCCATGGCGGAGCAGGCAGTAATATTAATATATTAATATAAACCCTTTTTTTTTGGTAATGAAAGAGGGAGTTCTTTGAAATGCAGCCATGTTTAGGGAAGGATGTCCTCAGCGGGGTGGCCTGGCCTGCACGCCGGGGTGAAGGAGGACAGTGATGGGTGGCAGGAGCCGGCAGATCTGGGCATTGTCCAAGGACTGACGGGCCACATCCCGGGTGGGTGTGGGTGCTGCCCCAGGATTAGGGTCCACGGGATGCTGGAGGGTATCTCAGTGCATCCAGCGTGTTGCTTGCCATGAGCATCGACCTGTCTAGTCCCCACTTGCTGTGGGGTACGTTTGTGCCCTGAGTCAGCAAATTTCTTTAGCAGCTGCTCATTTTGAGTGTTGCTGATTGCACCGGGCACAGAGATGTTGGCAGGAGCAATATGGCTGCCTTGGGCCCCGCTGCCTTGTCCAACATGATTTGCCCTTAGACAACTCGTGTTTCCAAAGTGCCTTACTTACAGAGCAAACCCCAGGGCAACCTGTGCCGCTGCCACCCACCCATGCGCATGGGCACGCATCCCAGCTGCACGGCCTAGGGGACAAAGTAAATCGTGTGGGATGCCGGGGATGTCGGCAGAGGCAGACAAGGGATACTGCAGGTAGTACTGAACATCAGTTTATTTGCTCTATTCCATCTTCCCTAAAACCTGAAAACAACTGACTTCCAGCAAGAGATAAGAAAGCAGTAGGAAGTGAGAGATTTGGCTCTGCAGCTCCTCCCTAACGCACGGGACCAGACAAAGGTGTTAATGCATTAGTGACGGCTGCTCCAAAAGGCACGCAGCAGTTTGGAGCCCCCGAAGCTCCCCGATGGGAGGTGTGTGAGACCAGCAGGACACCCCTCTGGGGCCTGGCTGCTGACACCACACTTCTCACTGCGCCTCCAGGAAAAGCTCGGCTGGTGCTGAACAGGAGAGACTCCAGAGCATGAGCCCTGGAGCCCCCCATTAGTCTGCTAACCTCTTCCTTGCGGGGCTGATTCAAGGCAAGAAAACACCCAGGGGTTTAGTTTTGAGGGGATGTGGGGGATGAGGAGGACTGATTTAGTATTGCGATGCACCATCGGTGAGTGTAACAGTACGAGACCGCTGATCGTGCAGTGTCAGGGAGGCAGGAGCGGGCACGGGGAAGGCTCCTGACGCCAAACGACCTGCAGCCTGGCGGGGCGGACGGGCAGGCCCACTCACTCTGGCTGTGGGGTGTAACGCAGGTACTTCTTGCCTGATGGGAGATCTTTCGTGAAGACTCCTTTGGGAAAGAGCTTCTTGGCTTCCTCGTCAGGTAAGGTGGGCACAACCATGACGCTGTCACCAGGCTGGGGAGAAAACGGGAACCGTGAGAGCAGCAGAGGAGCTGGCAGGCTTGGATGCAGGTGCCGCTTCCCTGCTGGCAGGTGGCACTGCCTCCCCGTGAACACTCGGCCCCAGCGCCCCAGGCACGTCCCCTGCAGCTCTGCCTGGAGCCGGCAGCGAGGACAGAGTAGGAGCTGCAACAGGAGGTGTGGGCAATGTAGAAAGGGAGAGCTGTGCTGCCTGCCAGCCCTGCCAACGGGATCCCACAGCCCAGCCCTTCCCCTCAGGACTGCCATGGGAACGGGGAGTAATGGGAGGGAAATTGGAGCATCTCTACGATGCAGGAGGGTGCGCAGCCTGCCTGAGTCTGCTCATCCATTTCTATTGCTCAGGCACCCCTGGACAGGTGGTGCTGGCACCCCCTTGGCATGCCAAACCCCGGGGAAAGGTGCACTTCCCTGGGAGGAGGACTGGGTGGGTGAGCTGGGGGCATATGCTGCAGGAGACAGGGGTCTTCAGAGGCTCTGCTTTGCCCCAGGAAGTGAAGGCAGAGTTTCTTGTGTGCTCAGCACATGGATGCTGGTGTTGGGGAGTGGAGAGGCACAGTGAAGCGCACTGATGTCCGGAGTTACTCGACCTCTGAGGCTCGTGCCTACAGGCCTTCCTGCCCAGATGGAGTGGGTGTTTGGGACAATGCTCTGGGAGCCTGGTCCTGCCTCATGACACAGGAGGACTTCTCCAGGACACCCTGTAACAGCAGGAGTGTGTCCTCTGGCTCCAGACAGGCAGGCTTCCCCAGTAACAGCTATCAAAGCCAGTGGCAGGACAGATCCAGGAGCTGAACATCTCTGCTGGGCTGAGGAAACACTGGCTAGCTAAAGCAGCCAGACTGTGCTGCTTGTTCTTGGCTTATCTTGGCTGCCCAAACTGTTTTGGGGAGTTTTAAATAATGCTACTGAACAGGGATGGCCACAACTAAGCAACTTCAGCTAGTAATTTTCCACAAGGATAGGACTCAGCTGTGTATGTGCTGGGCAAAGTGGGGCCATGCCCATACCAGCCCTTCCTGGCTCAAAGGCAGCAGAACAGCAAGCCAGCCCAGGGAAGGGTGCCCCATGCTTGCCGCTTCGCTGGCTTTGAGTGGACTTTGGCACGCTGACACGTGATAATGCCCTTCCTTATCACAGACAACAAGGGCAGGACCTGCCTTGGCCCAAAGCTCAAGTAGTGATAGCCAGAAGGGCCAAGCCTGGTATCTGCTGGCACTGGGGTCCGAGGGGAGGGAAGGGAGGTTCCCGTGGCTGACTCCAGACTGCAACGGCCATGGGGCCTGGGCTGGGATCTAACTCATACCCCAGGACCTCGGCAGGTCTCCCCACCCCATGGGTCCCCCTCCTCACCTTCCAGTCCACAGGGGTAGCGACCTTCTTGTATGCTGTCAGCTGCAGGGAGTCCACAACTCTCAGGATCTCATCAAAGTTTCTCCCAGTGGTGGCTGGATACAGGATGGAGAGTTTCAGCTTCTTATCTGGGCCAAAAACGAATACCTGAGCACAGGGAGACAGTGTCAGGGCTGGGTCAAAGATGTTTGTCTAACTGGATCTGCTCAGGCCTGCTGCTCCTCCCTTTCCTGGGAGGTTACCAACTCAATCGAAGGTGTTGGGACAGGGGAGATGCCATGGTGGGAATCTCTTGGAGGAACAAGTGATGCTCAGGCACAGGGAACACGGTGTTTGCTCTGAGAGCTCCTGTTTCCAATGCCAGCTTGTTCTGCTACTTGAAATGTTTCTTTCCCTTGACCTGTACCATTCTAATGCAAGCACGGGAGGGGAGAGGGAAAGTCCAGCAGATCGAGCACTTTTGTCATCTCTGTGTTAGGACAGGCACAACCAGGATGGGCTGGTGGCAACAGTGAGATGGAGCTGTTGCCAGCAGGCCAGAACTGCACCAGCCTCTTCCTGCAGCACAACCCATGGATCTAGCCCAAGGAAGTCAACCTAGCTCCTGAAAATGGTCACATCCGTTCAGGTAAGCTGCCTCCATTGTAAAGCCCAGCCCCACAGACACAGGGCAGGATGGCAGGCGATGCCTACTGCTGAGAAGGCTGCTGTGCAGCGGTGCTCCAGGGTCAGGTACTCACCACACGAGCAGTCAGGGGCATGCCATCCTTGTCCCGCTCATCTGGGTCCAGCATGCCCAGCTTGACAGCGAGCTCCCGGTTCGCATCAGCAATGATGGGGAAGGGAAGTTTCTCCTCGGGTTGTTCCCCGTTGTATGCATTGATGTCCTGCAGAGACAAAACCATCAGCATGCTCATGCTCCCTGTCGTGGGTACCACCACAGGAGATGGAGGCCAGGCAGGGACACCTTCATGCAGGCTTTACATGTGTGGGGCAAGCTCCTGTGGAGGGGCCATGCAGAAACAAGTTCAGCAGCTGCTCTACAGGAGCTGTGACTTGCCTGGCCCCCAAGCACGGCCAGGGGCTCGTGGCCTTCCAGGAGGTTTCTCTGCTTCCAGAAACCAGGTCACAAACCAGAAACCTGCATGCCAGGCCAGACTCTGCCTTGTTCTTGGAGGTTAGTTGTTAGGCTCCCTATGCTCGCGCCCTGTCGCTCACCTCTGGAACTGCCCGTGGATGTGTTGGTGTCACACCTGAACTGGTCTGTGCTCTTAAGAAACAGTTTCTCTAGTGGCAGAGCAAACCAGCAACTCTACAGCTAACAAAGGTCAAGTGTTGAAGACTTCACAGGTCTTGTGTGAGAGACCAGCTCCGTTCAGCAAGTCACTCCTAGCTTACATAAATAAAGGCTCTTGAAAACAGAGTGAAAGTCTGAGTGCAGGTACCGGGATACTGCATGCTCCTTTCTGAACCACGGCTGGGACAGAAGAGAAACCCATCCCCTTCCACAGCTGTGCAGGCTCTTCCTTGTGACCACAGTTTATGAGGTTGCTCCCTGTGCTAGTCCAAACTTGACTTGCTTCGCAAGGAAATCGCATTTTGCGCGTCTTCAAATCTGGTCTGGACTTGGCCAAAACATTCCAAGTTATCCTTGTGGTTTGTGGTACCACCCGTACGGGTCACACTGAGCCACAGCAGGGCTGGGAGAAGCCTGCTCAAGGCAGCACAAGCAAAGCAGCTGCCAGCATTAAAGCAAGTTTAATCCAAGGTTTCTGCCCCAGAACAGAGCTGCCTGTTCCTTCCATCCTCTTTATGCTACAAAGGGACAAAACTGGCCCCAGCGCTGATGCAAGCCTCCCACGCACCGCTGTGGTGCGTTATCAGCTGAGCTGATAATCTGAATGTACAAGTCTCTTCACCTTCCCCGGGCTTTGAACGTGGGGGAACAGGCTGGGTCCTGCTCAGAGGGAACTCGGGGAGGGTAGGGTTGGAAATGCTGCCCCTTGGCACTGCTGCTGCTGCTCAGAGCACGCCAGAGGCAGCAAAAGCAGGCAGGCCCTGCGCCACTCCTCAGCCCTCCTAGGCTGACGGTGGTGACATAAGGGGCTGAAACCCTGCCCCGGCTGCTCAGGATGCTGCAAGCAGGTCAAGTGGTGCGCACGTGGCAAGATGTTTCCTTTCCAGCTTTTCTCTTCGCTTGTTTTCTCCCCAGGGCTTTCTGAGTCAGCACTGCACTGCAAAAAGGGGCCGTTTATCTTGGCTGGGTTGTGGTCAGGCCTGCCTTGGAAGGAAGGAATCGGTTCTGTTCTCCTGCAAACCTGCCTTGTCAAAGCAGAGCAGGGAAGGAAAGCAGAGCTGGGGAGGCCAGCCCAGGCGAAATGCTTCTGAATGCCCCACAGAGTTGCAGGAGGCTGTAGATGAAGGTCAGACAGTGACACATACACCACCCCCTCTTCAGAGCGGGGGCTGGAGGATGAAGAGAGTTTCTGAAACGCAATATCTGAATCCTGTGGACTGTAACTCGCTCCAAAATGCACGTAATTTCATGACCTGGGAATCTCTGTACAAAACAGCCTCATGAACCCCACCCTATTTTGCAATGACACCCAAAACTCACTCACTTCCCTATGAACTGTTTTTATTTCCAGAGTCCAAGCTGAAACCAGACATCACTGGAGTGATTATGCACCCCTGACTCTTGACCAAGGCATTGGTATGTAGAGGAATGTTGTGCAGAGAGGTCTGACCAAAGTTTTGCTCGCTTCTAGGACTTCTCTCTAAGTTAAGATCTAGTAAAGGAAATTGCAGTTTCTAGATCTCAATCTAGCATTTAATAAAGACTGCTTTTGTCCAGACAAGCAGTTTCTGCCAAGGCTTGGTATCTCTGTCAAGCTCTTTTTTTTTCCCCATGGCGGGGCAGGAGAACCTTTGGGCACTGCCCCTGGTCTCAGACTTGAGGCAGGCCCTAACGCTTGCCTTCCTAGTTCAGCTCTTGACCTTTCTGTGTTATCTAACGTTCTCTGCTTTGTCAAGGACAAAGGAAAAGGATCACATGTATGGGCAAGGTCTAAGAGCATAGCAATCACATCCCTGTCCTCTCCTATGTTCTCCACGATGCATGCATGCATCGTGTTCATTGCTTCTCCATGCTCCCCGCACCACTCACAGTGTCGCAGCCCGACACGTCCTCCCATTCCCAGGCTAAAGAGCCCCAGTTGTTCTGTATTGAAGCAAACCTGCCCAAATCTGCAGGCAGCTTTGTTCCCCCTCTGCACCTTTTCTTGTTTCCCTGTAGTCTCTAAGATGGGCGATTTCAAACACAGGCTGCATGAAGTCCAGTCTGCTACGGATTTGTCCTCACCAATTGGATCTTTTGCTCTGGAGGACTTTCACAGTTTTCTTTTTGACAGGTGCTGAGCTGACATTTCCAAACCACTGTCTCTGAGGCCTCTCCCAGCCTGACAGAAAGCTCACCGCAGCTTGGGCCGCTGCCCTCTGCCTTTCTCCGTGCTTGTTCTGGAAGGTTTTCCAAACGTGCTACTCTGCCTCCCATCAGTCAGTGTCAAGAGGCTGCTCTGCAGCTTCTGCTGGTTTTACCTGAGGTTGCAGTGAATAATTCCATAGCATCAGCAAAGTCAGCTCGTTGTTCCTCTCTTTTCCAGATCACTTGAGTGTGCTGAATCTCACACGTCCCTGCAGACCCTCGAGGGAGCTAACCGCTTCCCTCCCTTCACACAACTTATCACTTCCTCCTGTCTCCCTGCAGAACAGAGCCTGCCCTTCCCAAAGCTGATTTCGTTGAAAAGCTTCTTGGAAATTTGAGGACTTTGTAAAAGTCAGCAACACCCTATAGTTATTCAACCGGCTTTAGCCACCCAGGAGAAGAGAATCCCTTACGGAAGCACAACCCAAACTTTCTGTTGTATTTAATAGGATGTTATCTGCTAATTTGACTGGTGGTTTCAGTCAGTTTGACCAGCACAGAAATCTCATTTACTGGTGCGGGATTTGTACGTTGGTTTTCCCAGGCCCTTCTGAGGCTTGGCAGGACATCGGTCATGCACCACTCAGGTACAAAGGCCAATTTAAGCAATAAGGCAATTAGGTAATTTCTAAAGCCAGTCAGTCTTGAAATAATATTTGAGTGTGGAAATTTCTCACCTTTACTACCTCTTATTGCATGTATGTCTCACCCCTGGAAAATGTGTGAGAACATTCCCAATTTTAAAAGCAAAGAAAGAGGCAGGTAATTCACACTCTGGCCATGTCTGTCTGAAATGCTCATTTCACACCCCTACCACCTATGAGCCCTGGAGTCATACTCCCTGGCAGCACACCATTGCTGAGGCTGCGTTTTAAGGTTTTTCATTAGTTCCCTTTATGTTCCTTCAACAAGCTATTTCACTCCCATCTGTTTTTATACTCCCTCATGATGCTTTTATATTTAACATTCTCCTATTTGTGGTTTTATGTTTAACATGCCCTTGTTTGTTCTCTGTTTTCTTTTCCCTGCTTGGGCACGAATTGCACCCTTTGAAGATTGCCTGTTCACTTCTGATGCCTCCTTTCCTTTCCTGTTTTATTACAGAACTTTTTGACGGTCTGTGGATAGATTGCCTTCCTCTGAGCTTTTGGCACCACCTTCACATACATTCTACCCTTTCAGGTATCAGTAGGAGAGCAGTAACACTGCTTCCCTCTTGTTTCAAAGTGTCAGTGCATAGAGTGCCCTGGACTTTGTGGATGGAGCAGACCTTCCTGTTCCTGCTCTGAATTTTAGCACCTCCTATCCTACATGCTTTGGGATTCGAGATACATAGTTCCAAGCCTGTGCTCTGTTCTGTGTGGGCTTCTCCTCTGGCCTGCAGAGCAAGGCAGCAGTGCAAGTTCCCCTTGCGTCTCCCACGCCCCGTACCTTGCTCCAGGAGAGGTGGTCTTGGACGCTGTCAATAGAGAGGGCGATCATCTTCACGTTGCGCTTGCTGAACTCGGGTGCCAGCTTCGCCGCCCGGCCAAGCTCTGTGGTGCAGACGGGTGTGAAGTCCCGTGGGTGGGAGAACAGGATGCCCCATCTGAAAAAAGAGAGTAGGAGATGGCGTTAAGGTTTGTACTGCAAACAACAAGCTGTTCAGATTCCACCGCACACAGACTTGCATGGTAATGGCTCATCTATCTGCTAAGTGGAAATCCTGTCCTGGGAACGCTTCCCTAACGTTAGAAGCCTTCAGCAGACAAGCAGCATTCATCATGCTCTGAGAATTTCCCTGTGCCTTGCTCCCCCTCTCCCTCCAGGATCCCACAGGGGATGCTGGAATAGCCTATGGTTTTTGACGCGGAGGTGGACACCGTGCCACGCGACGAAGTTTGGGGGAGCCATGTGTATGCTCTGCTCCCCAGAGACCACATGCACAAGAGGATGTGGATACCAACCTGCCAGCCATGTTATTGCAGAGATCATTACTGATTTACAAGGCTATTCACTATCCTGTGTTCCTCAACAACCACCGTGAGGAGAAACACCCATTGTATATCATGCAACTTAAAAGAAGGGGATAGGACCAAACCTTAACCTAACCGCTGCTGTGAGCTGCCAAGTGTACTTAATGAAAAAATAAGAATTAATCAACTAATGGGGGCAGCCAGAAGTTAACAGCACATTATGACTCCAGTTACAGCAATACTACCACCTTACTTTTGCCCACCGCTTCCCATCAGTGGATTTTACACGTCTTTAGAGCAGGCAAATACAAGTCACCCCACTCTACAGGTAAGGTGACCGGCACACAGAGAAAGGCAGCAATGCAGCCCGGCAGCGAGACAGGGGCTTATGGCAAACCAGCTCCCAGCTCTCAGGAGTTTCCAGAAACTAATGCAAAGCCACCCCCAGCATTTAAAATTCCCTGCCACAGACTTGTCGCACCATTTCTCAGCTCAACGTTCACAGAGCTTACGGCACCACTCTTTGCCTGGCCCCCAGCGCTCAGCATAATCCAGCTGCATGCCACAGCATCTGGGGAAAGTCCTGCCTTAGAGATTTGGGAACGGAGCTGGAGGGATGAAGAGAGCACCCCGCAGCTGTGCCACAGCTGTGCGATTGCCACGGGTCGCCATGAAATTATGGGGCAGCTACCTGGCCACTGGTGCTGCACGTCTCTTTATACCGTAAGTACACTACTTGAATAAAAAGGCCAAGTAGAAGGTGGCTAAGAAAGCTGCCATGCGGGTGATGAGGCTGGAACAGCCAGTTTTAAGAAACCCTGCAGCTTCTTTTTTGCTAAGAGGGTTTCTTTTTCCCAGTCTGCCGAAGGTCACAATGCTGACAGAAGCGGATGCAAATGCTGATTCAAGCCTGCCAGGCGCTG